GCTACCGGTTCTCCAAACTATTCAAAATTTCCGCTACTGGTTCTCCAAACTACTCAGAATTTCTACTACTGGTTCTCCAAACTACTCAAAATTTCCATTACTGGTTCTCCAGAACCTGCCAGAACCTGCTGGATTTCACCTCTGGTCTGGAGGCAATTCATTCCACCGATTAATTGTCCTCATTGTCAGGAAATTTCTCCTTAGTTCCAGGTTGGTTCTCTCCTGCATTAGTTTCTATCTGTTTCTTCTTGTCCTAGCTTCAGGTGCTTTGGAGAATAGCTTGACCCTGTGGTGGGATGCTGCCTGTTTAACAACCGTTTCATTGAGGTCAGTAAAATGATGACCCAGATTGTTGGGGGCAATATACTGACTTTATAAACTGCTTACAGAGGGCTATAAAGCATTGTGAAGCGGCATATAAGTCTAAGTGCTATTGCCCTTCCTTCCTTCCTTCCTTACTTCCTTCCTTCTGCATAGTGGTTAGAATGCAGTATAGCATGCTAATACTGCCTCTGGCAGCAGTTCAATTCTGACTGGCTCAAGGTTGATTCAGCCTTCCATCCTTCCAAGGTTGGTAAATGAGGACCTAGATTGTTGGGGGCAATATACTGACTTTATAAACTGCTTACAGAGGGCTATAAAGCATTGTGAAGCGGCATATAAGTCTAAGTGCTATTGCCCTTCCTTCCTTCCTTCCTTCCTTCCTTCCTTCCTTCCTTCCTTCTGCATAGTGGTTAGAATGCAGTATTGCAGGCTAATTCTGCCACTGCCAGCAGTTCAATTCTGACTGGCTCAAGGTTGATTCAGCCTTCCATCCTTCCAAGGTTGGTAAATGAGGACCTAGATTGTTGGGGGCAAGAGGCTGACTCTGTAAACCCTTAGAGAGGGCTGGAAAGCACTGTGAAGTGGCATATAAGTCGAAGGACTACTGCTATTGTGTTTGCGTTTATGTGTCTTTTGAAAGCTGATAGCCAGGGAAGGGAAGACATCCCTGAGGCGAGGAGTGGCGACAGTGAGCTGGGCTAGGGTCAACTAGAGAGTGTGGGAAGCAAGGTTGGAGAGGGAAAGTTTGTTCTCACAGAGAGGGGGCCCTTTTCCTGTTCATGCGTGCCCCCTTCCCCGACATGTGCCAAAGCAGTCCCAGAGTTTTCATCTTGTGCGAAAGGAGCTTCTGTGTCTGCAGGAGTTAATTTCCACTGGTGGGAACATCTCTGCCTGATAATTATGGTGCTGCTTTTCTCTTTCAAAGTCATGCATGTGTGGCCCAAGAATTCTTTAGGCATTACAGGGCCCTTTGTGAAGGGCTGTTATTTGCTACAAAAGGGCTGCGGTGGAGCTGGAATGGAGTCAAATTCCTCGGCTCCATAACGGTTGCCAAAATAACAGGAGGAGAAATTAGGAGCTCAGATCCTATGGGGTGCTCTGACCACTGCCCAGCCATCCAAATGCAGAATGGAGACTCCAGCCTGCCTTGCTATGGCCACGGCGCACCCCTCTCATTCCAGAGAACTCCAGTGGGCTTATCAGCATCCTAGTCCTCAGTTTTGCAAAGGAAAATTTGAAGTGGGTCCCGTTTGTGTTAAGGGAAAAACCTTCTGGAGATGTTTTGGTAGCCAAAGTGAGAGGGCAACGAACTTCATCAGGGATACGGGAAAGTTGGGCACGTCTGTAGTATAGGTAGTCCTCGACTTACAACAGTTCACTTAGTGACCATTCAAAGTTACAACGGCACTGAAAAAAATGACATGGCCTTTTTTCACAAGCTTAAGACTGAAAATCAGGCTTGTCAGATGCTCCATCTTTTCTACCCTGCTCTACGGAGTGGAGAGTTGGTCTCTGACAGAAAGCCACTTGAAGAGATGAGAAGCATTTGAAATGTGGATTGACAGGCAACTGGGTTGACAAAGTGGAGGTGATAAGCTGGCTGGGAAAGCCAAGGGAAATCATCAAAACCATAAAAAAACGAAAGTTGGAATATTTCAGACATGGGTTGCGACACCCAGAAAAATACGGCATCCTTCCCTTAATCCTCCAGGGAAAAACTGAAGGCAAAGAAGGTCCAGGCAGAAGAAGAACATCGTGGCTTCCAAATCTAAGGGATGGTTTGGACAAAACTCAGCAGCATTTTTTCATGCGGCTATTGACAAAAATAGGATCACCAACATGATCGCCAACCACTGATGACGGATATGAAAGGAGGAGGAGAAGGAGGAGGAGGAGAAGGAGGAGGAGAAGAAGAAGAAAGGTATTTTGATTACATTTGGGGCATTATTAGACAGCAGTGGCCCAACCTTGACATTGGGTCCCCAGCAACGTGTCTGTATGTGTGTGTGTTAGTGTTGTTGTTTTTTTTTTGTTATCCCAACTTTTCCTAATCACCAGCCAAGGAAATGATACCCTTTGCTCTTGGTGACCACTGAGTACCGCTTTCAATGGCCAGATCTGAGTTCTCTCAAGGGACAGCTTGCGTGATCGGAGTCTGGCTTGTGCCAGGAGTTCCACTGACCTTCATGGGGCACGCAGTAGACGGGTCCTTCGTCTGTGGTGTCGAAGGAAGAGAAGGAGCCCCTGGATGACCAGGAGGGTGATGGCTGATCGACCACAGAAGGAGGTTCAATGAAGCTGCAGTTCAGGGTGTTCTCCAAGTCATGATGAGCCACTGCAAGACACAAAGAGGTCGGAGAAGGGAGGTTCAATCAATCAATCAGCATAGAGCTGGGGTGACATGATAGTTGTCTTATTCGAAAGGTGCTTTTCCAAGAGGACGTTCTGGTTTTTCTTTGAAGACACTGGATAGAGACGTTGGACAGAGATGTCCTCTGGTTTGAAAGCAGGGTCAAGGATGCCATCTATGTCACTTCTCTTAACAGAGGGGGAGGGATATGACATCATCTGTCTCCAATCTACAATACAATCCTTTCAACAGTTCCAAGAAGACTCCACACTCATTTGCACCACTCAGTGACCCTGAGGACACAGACGAACCTCCAAGTGGCCTCAATGGCTCACCAAATGACCAACTGTCTGCAAGGAGTATAAATCCTTCCATTCCGCACCCTCCAGTCAGAGTTGAAGAAGCTTCTTGGATGAGAAGCGAAACGTCTTCAAAGAAAACCAAGAAAGTCCAGTTGCCTCTTGAAAAAAGCACCTTTGGGACAACCATGGCCTGGAGGATTGAGAATCTCCATAGACATTCTCTGTCCAGAATGTGGACCCTGAAACCACAGATAAAGCCTCCAAGTGGCCTCAACAACTCTCAGAAAAAGTGCTAACAACCAGATGACTGAAAGGAAGATAAATCCTTCCGTCCTCCAATATTCAGTCAGAACCGAAGAAACTTCTTGGATGAGAAGCAAAACGTCCTCAAGGAAAAACAAAGAAAGTCCAGCTACCTGTTGAAAAAAAAGCACCCTTGGGACAACCATGGCCTGGAGGACTGAGAATCTCCCTAGACAGGCAGTTTTCTTAGTTAACAAGGAGAGATCCAACGTAGAACAAAGGAGAAATTTCCTGACGCTGAGAACAATTGACCAGTGGAATGGTTTACCTCCAGAAGTTGTGGGTGCTCCAGCATTGGAGGTTTTTAAGAAGAGACTGGAAACAAAGACTATATCCCATATGCAGCATTGTGCAAAGATTGGACTTTCAGGGGCAAAGTGTCCTTTAGAAATGTCTTTGGGCATCTATGTAACAAAGTCAGATCTTTGCCAAGGCAGTGATGCGCCAGGTGAGCCCAACAGAAGGGCCTCTGTGTGCAGCAAAACTCGGAGGGGAAGCGGCGTTTCCAATGCCTTCGGACCTCTGGTTCTGGGTGAGTCACTGCCAAATAAATCATGCCCAGAGTGGCTGAAGAAGACTTTCCTGTGGGCCTCTCGCCATCCCTGCCTGGGTGTTTATTCTGCTGCAATCTCTGGCCTGCTGTGATTCTTAGAGGGGGCAGCTTCAGTGGGGGGCTTCGTGGCCCTGAGCGCCCCCCCCCCAGTGGGAAGGTAGCAGGAGGCAAAGGCTGCAGGGTCTGGAATAACTGCCTTCATAGGGTGCTTCGAAGCCATCCTTCCTTTTTTGGATTGACACTAAGAAAGGATATGGCTTGGATGGGGAAGGAAGGGAGGGAAAGGAAAGGAGGGAGGGAGAGGCGAGGAAGGAAGGNCGCCATTCCCCAAACTGCTGGCATGTTTCCTCTTTGCATTGGGTAGACTGGGCCAAAGTGATGTGGCCAGCCCCTTACATTTTCCAGGACAGCCCTGTGGGCTGGATCCAACCACATTGCAGGCCAGATGCAGTCCATGGGCCTTGAGTTTCACACCCCTGCTCTAGTGCTCCCTTTCAAACGTCTCTGTTGTGAATGACAATGACATGTCAGTCTCCAGAAATGCTCTAATCCTTCCTCTCTCTTTCTCCCCCTTCCTTTGGGTCATTTTTCAGGAAGCAAACTGCTGATTTTGGTGCTGTGCTTGAACTTCCCATCCGAAGTGGAGTTGTGTCCCGGAGCATGCGTGTGTTACAGTGAACCCAAAATCACAATCAGCTGCCAGCAGCAAGGGATCTCCACCATCCCCATCGAGATCCCAGTCCAGACTCAGCGGATTTTCCTCCACAACAACCGAATCGGCCTGATCCAGTCCACCAGCTTTACTTTCTGCCGCAACCTCTCCATTCTGTGGATCCATTCCAACAACATCAGTCTTATCGAACCCGGGGCTTTCTATGGGTTGGACAAGTTGGAAGAGCTCGACCTGAGCGACAACGTCAACCTGAAGTCCATCAATCCTTCTACCTTCCAGGGCCTCGTCCACCTACATACTTTGCACCTGGATCGCTGCGGGATCTTGGAGTTGTCCATGGGCCTTTTTCGGGGTCTTTTCTCCTTACAGTATCTCTATCTGCAGGACAACGACCTGCAGGAGTTGCTGGATGACACCTTCCTGGATCTCGCTAACCTCACCTATTTGTTTCTGCATGGGAACAAAATCAAAAGCTTGTCGGAAAACGTCTTCCGGGGGTTGACGAACCTGGATAGGCTGCTGCTGCATCAGAACAGGGTCAGTGTGGTCCATCGCCGGGCATTCCACGACCTTGGGAAGGTGATGACCTTGTACCTTTTTAATAATAATTTGACGGTGCTGAGCGGGGAGACCATGGCTCCGCTGGGGTCTCTCCAGTACCTCCGGCTCAACGGCAACCAGTGGGTGTGCGACTGCCAGGCCCGGTCGCTCTGGGATTGGTTTAAGCAGTTCAAAGGGTCCTCCTCCGAATTGGAGTGCCACCTACCCGCTCAGCTGGCAGGGAGGGACCTCAAGCGCTTGCAGAGTACGGACCTGGAAGGCTGCCTCGACTCCTTCAACCAGATCAGAACGAGCGTCTTCAGCACCAAGACCAGAACTGGCAAAGTGCCCACGGCGGACCCGACGCTCGGTCCCCAGGACAACGGGCAGAAATGCTGCCCGCCAGAGATGGATAAATCTTTCATTTACGAAGCCAAAGCCAAGGCAGCGCCGCCTTCTCACAGCAACCGGGCTTCCCCTAATAACCCACTCAAGGATAAGGAAAATATGGCCAAAACCAAGCATCAGGTGGAGGCGGAGCTGCCCAAAAATGGCAGCAACAAGCACATCAACGACTCGCCCTTTGGGACGTACCCCAGCATGGTTGACCCCCCTCTGACCAACTTGAAACCCGAGTTCTTGGGTCCCGTGGAGCCCTCCACCGCCCCGACCAAAAGGAGGCAGGGGTGCTCTCGGAGGAATAAGTCCAGGTCCCAGTGCCGTATGGCACAGCCGGGTGCCAGTACTAGTACCAGTGCCAGCCCCCCAGTCCTCCCAAGCCTTTTATTGCCCCCCATCATGTGGAGTCTCTTTTGCTTCTCTTGAAATCAAGCGAGGCTTTGCTTTCAGGGGTGGGGGCTCTTGGCTTTAAGAAAGGGACAGGAGGGCAGGAGGGGGACGCAAATCCCCTTCCCCCCAAAAAAAGGTTGTGAAGGAGAAGTTATGCCCAGAGAAAAAAAACGTTACAATGCTAAACAATTACTGGATGCCTTTATAGACTCTCTCTCTCTCACACACACACACAGAGACACACAAAATCAACAAAACAAAAAAATGTAAATAATTTATTTCTTCCTTCTGGAATTTCTATGTTTGATTTTGATCTTGCCTTTGTCCTTGGAATTACCCTTTTCCCAAAGAGAAAGAAAGAAAGAAAGAAAGAAAGAAAGAAAGAAAGAAAGAAAGAAAGAAAGAAAGAAAGAAAGAAAGAAAAGAAAAATAAGAGATATAATAATCCCATATCTTTGTCATGTTCCCCCTCACCCTAAAATCATTACTTGTAATTTGAAGTCCTGAAGTCCTAAACGATATTGCACATTTTCCCCATCTGCTGAGATCACATCAGTGGCAATTTTTTAAATACCTGGATTTTGAGGTTTAACCTCCTTTGGTTTCCTTGGGTTTGCAGAAGGAGGCATTTGTTAAAGAATGCTCCCTTTTCATTCACTGAAGACTGCAGTATATATATAAATATGAATATATATATATATATATATATATATAGATATGCATTTTATTTTACTTGTGTACAAGTACAAAAAAATACGAAATAAATATTTCTTTCTTTTTTCTTT